TTCCACTAAGCAGTAACTTGGTGCGGATGATACTGCTGATGGCGCGGTAACACGCGCCCCAAGACCGACAAGGACAATACTGCGTTCCAGCGAGGCGCGGCGGGCCCTGGTGCTGCGTAATGCCGCAAGCCTGGCGCTGCAAAGTTCACCAAGTGGCGAACGTTGCTGGCGCTCGGCTTCCCCCGACAATAAGGGGTACTGGACCTTGGTGCCACGATGAGGTGGCCGGCATCACCAAAGTGTTTTTTCTATTAAGTCAAAAGTCGTGAGTCAAGATCCTGTCGGATCATTGCTGCGACTGCGTGTGTCAGTGCGCTTATTTTTATGGACTGCCCCGCCATTTGCGGGGTCAAAGGGCGTTTGCGAGGTGTATTTTTGCTAATATTTCCTATTTTACAATGCTCTTCAATACAGCCCATGTCTTTCTTGAAGCACCCCCCCCCCCAAACACCGCATATCACGGCGCCTGCATAGGTCTATCTTGAGGGTTTTGGGAGAACCCCCACTCTATGATAAAAGAGCCCTTGCCACGGGGGCGTGGTATGTAATTTTTTTTATTCTGTAGTGGGGCGCATTTGTGGGGCAGTTCCATTCTGAAGCTCTCGCCGTGATCTTCGGTTCGCCGGGTGGTGCCCGAACGCTTGCAACTTCATTGGCGAATGTTTGGAAAGTTGGAAGTTTTTTTGGAAAGAAAAAATTCCATTTGATGTGGCGGGTTGTAGAGGCTTTGTGCCAGCCCCGGTCGCCTGAGTCTCCTCATTTTTCCATGGAAGGTTACGCCTTTCGAACCCCCGGCCGTCAATTTCTATGCTTTCCTGCGCCCAGAATTCCTTGCCCTAGGTTCGATAATAGTTTTTGGCTTGAATGCAATATTGTTTAGTCCTACGTGGCGCTTTTGCCTTGTGATGCCCCAAATGTCCACAGAGGTCGCACCACGATTTGCTTGGAAGAGGGGCAAGGTGTTTTTTTTCGTCTTTTCAAATACTTGAAAAATTCTGTCCTTGTCCCCCTTGGGGTCGCCAATGGCATGAGCCATGGCTTGGGTTCTCACCCCCGGATTTCCCACAGCCCTCTGGCAGCGCATAAAGTTCGCAGCTCTAAGCACAGTCCACTGCCTAAATGCCTTTTTTCAGCAGGCGCACCTTCCGATAGAATGTGCAAAAAACAAGCCACGAAAATACACCATGCCCGTTGAAGACAAAAGTCCGGTGTCATGGGTGGTGGGAAAAAAGCGCGATCAGCTGCAAACAATTGTGCCGGTGAGGTCCCAAGGAAGTGCCCCAACGCCCCCCAAAAGTCCCGTTTTTTTTCTTCCGGTCCAAAGCCCCCTTTCCATGGATTTGTTCCCTCGTTTTTGAAAAGACCCACGCCCCTGCCCGAGGCAGTTCCTCTTGTTCATTGTCGGTTTTTCCTGCCGGGCCCCGTGTGG